TTTACCCATGCTGTTGCCAGTGGTAAAGACTTGACCTCCCACTCTCCCTGCCACATAAGAGGAGGATTTCCTCAAGTGACTCTATGTATCCTGGGATGAGCAACATACTCAAGGGTAAAAGCAAGTCAGCTGAGTTTTTCTTTTTCAAGTTTGATCCACACAGTGTTTCCACACCTGGCACTTATGTTAATTTAATTGCATTTAGCCTTATAAGAAAAAGCAAACAATAGTAAGACATGAAGATGCTTCATTCCTTCTCCTCCAGCTCAGACAGGCTGCTCCATAAGTGTGCTTTACACACCAATCCACAGCAAAACTTAAAGCAATAGAAAAAGGAACAACAAAGGCACCAAAAGCCCAGGGGCTACCTGTCTCCCCCAGGACGATACCCCACTTACAAGCAGTTCTCTGGACATCCTCCCAGCCCTCTCACGGGCCTCCACATTCCCAACCCACCCCCGTGGTCCTCCTGGTGACTATCAGAGCAACTTTCTTCTGTGTGTCTGACCATTCCTGTCCAGCACAGTACAGCTACGCTCTGCAAAGAGGACTAGAAAAACCTGGGCACAGACAGAAAAAAAAGAAGGAAAAGAGAAACAGAATGAAATAATCCTTCTCATGTCACGTGTATCACATTTGGTCCCCACGTCTCTAAAATTTCCTTCTGCAAACATTAGGTTGCACCATCACAGGGAACTTGCTCAGGCTCTGCCTGCACTGACCCTATCAGTGCAGCTCTAAATTCAACCTTCAAACAATGGCACCCTGAATTTTCAAGTCCAAGAGCCTCCTACAAGAAGGCCTGCTGTGTGACCCACATCATCTACACTGTGGGAAGGCTGAGAGGGAGCTGCAGGCAGCTGTATGCTGTGATCGTCAACAATATTAATTATTTGGGGAGAATATGATTGATCTCATGAGGGCAATGAATTAATTTCTCCAGCTGAATGACAAACAAAAGGCAATATATGCGCTGCTGACATTTCCAAAGGCTATAAGGAACAGCGACAGGAGGAAATACTGCTATGTGTTAAAACCCTGATGCAAAAGGCCAAAAATCTGAAAAGTCTCCAAAATTTTCATTTCTGAGCACTTTCAATGCCAGGAAGCAGATGCCTTTATATTCTCAAATCTGTACTGACCCTAGCCCTGGGCTGGCTCACCTATTTGTATTGAGAGGAAGCAATTACTGAGTGTCTTTGGAAAGTTGGGTTGCATTTCTCTCTTGCTCTTTCACACTTCTTAACAGCTACAGAGCTGTTGCACCTGGTGGACAAGGTGGGGGGGGGGGGGCACACAGAAAAAAAAGCTGAGAAAGGGGAAAACACTGCTCTCCTGGGTAGCCACAACCCAGGGCTATTCAGCAGGGCTGAAATGCCAAGATGTAGCTCCCCTGGGCTATGGGAGAAGAAGAGGACACAATAAGCCTGGAGAAAATAATTTCCAGCTCTCTGTGGCCCCAGGTCAGGGGTGTCTGTGTGTGTCCAACTTCCAAAAGAGACAGAATTAAACAGCCTCACTAAAGTCCACCTAGCAACATGAGAGAAAACAAGGAAGGTGGAGAAAGGTAAATGCACTGAGGCTGTGGCTGTTTTTGCAGGAGAATGGATGAGGAGAAAATACAACTCCATCCATGGGAATGTTACTCCAATAGAGTCTGAGTTCTGACACATTCTTCAGTCACCCAAACCCATCAGCCCTGTCTGGCTCAACTGCAACCAGTACAATGTGCTAGAGCAACACATTTTGGGACCTGGCAGCACACCTGTGCTCATTCAAAGAGGCTGGGTGCCCTATAAACCCTTCACAGCCTGCCGACATCATCATGCTGGGCAACAACACAAACATCCTCCTCCCATTAACCAGATCCCTCCTTGTAAAAAAAGGGCTGGGAAGTGTCTGTTCTTGAAGGAAGAGGGGGGAGGCAGCTATTTCTCAACAGAACAAATCCAATTATTTGTATTAGCATGAATTTGTATGGCTCTTACTGTCAGAATAAGTGTTTTCTACAGATCACAGAGCTTTGAATCAACAGATTGATGATAAATTCATGTAGGTGGGGCCCTGGATGTTACTATGGTAAGGAGGTAAGGTTGTTTTACTTCTAGTTCCTTGTGAGATTTATTTTTTGCAATAGGTCTAACCCCAGAAAAAAGTAACTAAAAATTTGGGCTCCCACCACTGCCATTTACTATACTCCTGTAAGTCTCTGAGGTTGAAGATTTTAAAACAGTCTACTAGTTTAGGGTAGCAACATGAGTTTCTGGTTAATCTACATGAAGGCTACAGAGACATCAATCACCAACTGTAGTGCATGAAAAATTGTAGTGCCTCCCTGATAATCAGACATCAGAGAGCTTATAAACGGCTATCCCCCAAACTGAGCACATTAGTAGAGGTTTCTGAAATCTGTGCCTCTATTTCCCCAGACACATTTATAACAGCCTCTCCCCACAGCTATGCATCTTAATGTCTCTAAAGTGCTTAGAGATGATGAGATTAAAGATAACATAACAAGTGCAAGGTATAGATTAATTCCCTGAGCTCAGCAGTCACTGGAACTGATGGGTATAAATGTACCACATACCACCACTCAAAACTTGGGTTCTGAGCCTGTCTTAAATAGTAACTACTTAAGCAGCAGTTCCCTCGGAACAAGTCGTCTTGGAGCTAGTTGGCTGGGCACATAGAGCCCCAACAGGCAGGAAACACAGAAATGCAGTATACTACAATGAATAAGGTCTCCAACCTGTTCCTATAGAATCTGGTAGTGGGATTTCAACTTGTCTTGGTAGGAATATGACAGAGCTATTCCGGTTATAGCAACTAGCACATTAAGAGCACGGCCAAACATAATTTGAAAAGCTATTTCCATTTCTGTTTGGGTCTTTTTGTTTTGTTTTGTTTTAATGATTAAAGATCCAGTTTAAATATTGAAAGGAAAACTTTAAATTGAGCAAGATAAGTTTTGGCTTCCTTCCGAGTAAAAGGCAAATCCCAAAACACTTCTGAAAATCTAACAGATGGGAGTTATTTTTCACTCTTTAAAAGTTTCATTCCTTTGCACTGAGATTAACTGTAATTAGCTCTTTATTTACATCTAGGACAAAAGGTAAAATGATAAAGGCAACTATACAGGCAGAGATAGACCAAAAAAAAAAAGGCAAAAATTCTCTCAGAGAAGAAAACGTCATGTCTTTCTCACCAAGCAGCATAATTGTTATAAATATATAGTTAAGCAGTTCCACAGCATCCTGTCAGCACTAAGGATAAACATTTAGGTCACAGTGTGCAAGCTTTTACATATGAGTTGATCAAATATATAAGATTTAGTCTCTGAACATCTGAAAATATCACATCCCTATAAGTAGACAGGATCAGACCTAAGACAGTCAAAATACTCTATTACACTTTTATTTCAGTCATGCAAAACTAGGAGAAAAATAAACAAACAAACAAAAAAAACAACACACAGCAGCTTTTCCAGTTAAAGACAAGGAGATATTAAAACTTTTTCCTTTTTTTTTTTTCTTTTCCTTTTAAAATTGTCTTCTAATTCTGATAACACCTCAGCTTAGTAAAGCTGAAGAGGCTTCTTAAGTATTTGTGCAAATACATGATTCATGTCGTATCTTTGCCTTTCAGTCGCACACCAAACTCTGAGGAGCTTCACGCGAAGATAACTACCAGCTTTTTACCGTTGTACTTCCAGGATGCTCCCAGCTTGCACCCAGACAGCTGACTGACCCGTGGCCACGCTGGCTGAAGCTGAAGACCAGATCCAAAGCTTCAAGGGTTAAATAGTAAAGCTTGCCTAGCCATGCCCAAGCAAGCTGTTAGCAATAAAGAGAAGTAAAGGGCTTGAAGGCAGTCTAAAATGCTTCTGAACCAACTGGACACTCTCCCATTACAGCTCAGGGATCCGAATACCCATGATGGATGTGGGATGGGAGCTCATGAGCATCCAGTTCTCCTTCCAGGCATGATAATACAGTCTCCTTTTGTGGACATCTAAAAAGAGCTGCAAAGAGCTGGTAGCTCTTGATGACCCTGCTCTGGGTGGGATTTCCAAGGTAATAGCTCTCTGGCACCTCCCTGGTGTTCCCAGGAGAAACCACCTACGACTCCCCTGATTCAGCCCAGGATTCATGACAATCTCATTCTCTGCCCCAAACAGAGCTTTTAACAGACCCTTTTTGTTATCATATGTAAATCTAAAAAGACTCAATAAGAATCAACATAACTTTTTCATAGAAATATGGAGTTGGAAAAGACAGAAAGTCCAATCCCAGCACCAGGAAACTTGACTCACTGCAAAAGTTATGGACCGATATAATTCGCCTCATTTCACTCATACGAGAAAGTGAATCGCTCTCTCTCTCTCACACTCGTTCCTTCTCTTTTCTTAACACTCTCAGAGACTTCTATCTTTAGCTAGTTATCTTTGCTGAAATTTTCTTAAAACTGTAATTGGATAATCATGCAGACTCAAGGGAAACCTGTGTCAGAGGAATTCCTGGGGATATAGCCCCCATTTGATGAAACTGAGAGTTGCTAAACTGACAAAGGACTAACTAAAGATACAATTCTTCACTTGTAGTAGAAATCCTGTTTAATCAGCAACTATTTTTAAGGAACCCTATAACAAAACATGTACACTTGTACATTCATGTTCCTGTATTTTGTTTCCTGTCAAATAAGGCTCTGATTTTATGAATATCATTATCTGTGCATGTGTCTCACTGGGACCTCTGAGGTTGAAGGTAGCAAGCGCACTAGCTAAGACTGAAATTCCCAAAAGGATAGGCACTATTTGAACTACATTTCCCCAAATCAGTTTCCTTTTTGCAATCTCTCTGAGCATACATGTGTCTTAGTCGCATGCAAAAGCCCTACACGCAACAAAACTGCGGCTGAGAAACGCGAGATTAGCCTTCTGGTTTGCAAAAACACTGGGAGGGGGTGGGGGGGGAAGGGTGTTGAAATCCTAAAATACCTACCAAAAGAAGCAGCTGTTTTATTCCAGTTTAGCAGTGACCAAATCCCAGCCGTGCGTTTTGCTGATGGCAGAGCAGAACAAAGTGGTTACAAACCGTGGAGGGAAAGAAACCCACCTACACATGGGCCCCCCGAGCTACACCCAGGCTGCAGAGCTGGTGCAAGAGAGGAGGTCAGCTCAAGCGTGGCAAACATGACAGCCAGCGTTGCCTTCCTTCTGCTGTGCATCTGGCCCACCTCGCGCAGCCGGAGGAGCATCACCGGGTACAGAGGTGCTACCGGCCAGGCTGCATCAGCCTGGCAGCACAGAGGAGATGGCTCTTGGTTCTGTTTATAGGGGCAGTGAAACCCCTGAGCTGTGTCAAGAGAAAGGCAGGGGAGGAAGGATGAGAGCAGGCAGTATCTGAACTGTGAGCTCCACTGTGGGAAGTGCTTCAGTTCCAAGATAACATAGTGCTGTTCAGAGATTTCAGCTTATATAGTCTTTTCCATATATCTATTTTTATTCCTGAAGCATTCCCCATTGCTGTACTATGAAAAGAAAGACTGGACAGCATGGATGCTCACATATATGTGAGCACATTCACACACTGGTTATAATCTTCCTAACTGTCCACCTTGTTAATACAACCTGTGCTCTGAGAGCCAAGCTGGGACACCTCCTCTCTCACAACACCAGCTGCAAGGGTTTTCTTCTTGGCAAGTTTTTGTAAGTCAGAGTCTTGCTGAAATGAGAGGGCATTTGACAACAGTGGGGGACCCAGGACAGATGGGGGAAGGAATATGAATCATGTGTCTGCCAAAATAACCAACCTAAAAATCCAAACGTAACAATAAGTGAGAAGAAGAAATAAGAGAGCATGTTCTGGCCTCTTATTCTGAAAGAGTTAATTGCTTCTTCCCTAGTGCAGGCATCTGGCACATGCAGGTCTTGAAGGAACAAAGCTGAGACAAACTCTCTCTGCCTTCTCTTTCCTATATGCATATTTCAGAGCTTAAAATTATAGCAGCGGGGCCAACAAAGGGGCATTTCCCATACCTCCATGTATCCAGGCACCATCCAACCTGCTGCCACACTGCTCTCCCAGCCCTCTGAAGTCTCTATGTGAACCTAGGTGTTCCTGCCAGGCACTTTGAGGTAGCACTACCTGACCCTGGGTATGATCCTGCTCAAGCCCGGACCAGCAGAGTACTCATCCCGGCTGCACACTAGCTAACACTCAGATGCAGGATACCTGCGCAGAGCCCTGGAGGTCTGGAAGGAGAGAGCCCAGAGGTGTTCAGACACGAGCTTTCCTTCATGGACTCTGGAGGGACCAGGCATGGGCAGACCTGAGCAAGCACAGCTCTTCCCGTGTAACACACAGACACTTTGAACTCAAGCTACATTCAGCAACATGGAAAGACAGTCACCGGGCTGTGTGCGTGTAGACCTGCCCTCTGCCTGGCTCAGAGGCATCATGTTAGAAACATAACCTCTTACCCTATAGCTCCCCACTTCACCTGCATGAAGTGGCTCCCACGTTCCCAACTTAATGTTTCTTGACCATTTTGGTGGTGCACACACTTCCACCAGCCCAAGTCCTCACAGCCTCAATCTCCACATCCCTCATCATCCTGCATTCTTAACTGCTCCTACAAAGAAGGTATTCCCAGCAACAGCAACAACTCTATATACTTCCAGGAAAGGAGAATATCTGGGTGTTAGAGATTAATCCTCACCGCTTGCCCTCCCCTGCTCACCCCAGGCAGGCAATGGAGGCAGAAAGCAGGACCCTTCACAGCACCAAGCCCTCCCACCTGAAAGCCCTTGGGCTGAAGTGATGCTCTCCATGAAAACAGGAGGCTTTTCCTGCAAGGAACACAAAACATGGAGTAAATCTTCTGGAGCTGCCAAAAGCAACCTGTTATAAATGGCCCTCTAAGTTATGAGATATGGACTCTCCACAGCACAGTTAATAAATAATACCCCCACAATCCTTCTGTGTGTGGAAGTGTAAGTTCAGTGACAGTTCTGCTTACTCAAGAGGGGCCACAGTTAAAATTGCGTGAGGAAAAGAGTATTTTTTAATTACATAGCTTTTTCTTTTTTTTTAAAAAAAAAAAAAAAAAAAAAAAAAGATAAGGAGCTTGCTGCAGCCTCCCAAATCCAGAAGTAAAAAGCCTTCCCTAGGACAACAAAACTAAATGTGTGAAACTAAAGCCATCATTTTATAAGAAAAGAAGATCTGTAAAGAAAAACAGAATTTTACCCAAGCATTATAACCAGCTATTCACAAAGCAGATGCTAGGATGGAAAGAGAGGGTGTGCGTGTGAGAGTGTATTTATAATCCAGTTTACAGTAACATCCTAAGGCCCTGCAATCAGGATCCTGTTGTGCCAAGCAGACACACTCCAAGAAGCCAGCCCAGGCCGAGGAACAAGCACTGCCACTGTAATGAAGGGAAGCGACACTGGCACAGAAAAGGGCCACCTGAGGCACTGGAAGCCTGATGGCCTCTTCCCCCCCCCCGCCCTTCCTTTTCAGGAAGCATTCCCACCATCCAGTCTCCCTCCAGATACCCCCTCCCAAAATGCTTCGCATAAGCGGGCAGTTGTCCCCAACAAACACGCAGCAAAAAGCATCTTGCAGCCAGCATCTAATCGCTTTAAGGCTGTTTTCTTGGACGTGCCTCTTCCACTTTATTTTCCCGCTGAGGCTTAAGCCTGACCCTTTCCATTTCAAAGATCTGACCGACAGCAGAAGAGAACAGGTATCAGAGGCTCACGCATTTGCAACGCAAATGAAAATTAAAGTTGCATTTGTCAGTGCGGGTAGTGCTCTAGCTAGGAATATCCAGATTTCCCTGGCCCCAAGGGAGGGAATTCCAGCAAAACCACCCCGCATCGCGGGTACCGCCGGCGCGGCCGCGGAGCAGCAGAGACCCGCATCCGCGGTCCTGCCTCTGGGCTCAGCCCTGCCCTCGCCCCGGCTGCGCCCTTTACCGAGGGACAGCCGAGACGTCCCCGGGCTCCGGCAGCAGCACAGACGCCACAACACCCGCTCTGTCCCCTCCGTCCCCGCTCCCGTTACCCCCGGCCCGGCGGGGCCGGCCGCGGCCGCGCACGTTCGCTCTCACCGCGCAGAGCCGCCTGTGTCCGGGACACGCCGCTGCCGCGGAGGCTGCTCGGGCTCTCCCGAGCGGTTCTTCCTTTTTTTTTTTTTCCCCCCCCCCGCCGGCCGACGAGCGGGGGCAGCTGCCGGCGCCGCCGCCCGACTCTTCCCGCGCACCCTCGGGGCTGAGAAACCGCCTCCTCCGCCAGAAACTTTCCCTCCGAGTGCGGGGAAGTTCACGGCCGGGGCGGGCCGGACCGGACCCCGACCCCCCCCGCCACCCCCGCTCCGTGCCCCCGCCCCGGCGCGCCGAGGGGCCGCGCCCCCCTCCCGCCGACCGCCCGTACCCCTGCCCGCCCCCACGTAGCGTGGCTCACCTGAGAACGCGGAGGGCGCACGCAACCATGTCCCACGCGTCGCGCTCTCCTCTTCCTCCTCCTCCTTCTTCCTCCTCCTCGTCCCCGCCCCGCGCTCGCCGGCCGCCCCTTTCCCCACCGGCGCCGGCCCTGCCGCGGGGAACCCCCCGAGCTGGGGGGACCGGAGGGGGGGGGGGGGGGGGGTGTGTGTCGCTCCGGGGAACCGGCAGCAGCGTGTTGGGGGAGGGGGTGGGCCAGGAATCCGCTCCGGCGGGCGGGCCCGGAAGGCGGGAGGCGGCCGCCGTGCTCCGCTCGCAGTTTGCGGGGTCCGGCCGGGAGGGGCCGGGGGACGCGGCCGCGGGTCCCCCTCCCGGCCCGAGCCGCGGCCACGCCGCGTCCCCCGGGGCGGCCAAGGGGCACCCGGAGCCTTTCGGGGCTCGCCCGGCTGCCTGTTTCGGTAAACCGGGGTGGCGTGCGCAGCCCCGCTGCTGCTGCAGGCCCCTCCGCTCTCTGCAGGTCGCTTGCTTCCCCCCCCTCCCCACCACGGGAAAGCAAAGTTTCCCACTCTCCCCTCCGTGGTGGGCTGGGAGGGAAGGATTCGCTGGCAAGAGCCGTGGCACTGCGATGCCGCCTCATCCCAGAGAAGCGGCACCTTTTTGCTGTATCGCTGCCACGGATGCAGCCCGGATGAGGCTGAAATTTGTTGATGGGTGAGGAGCAGGCACCTGAAACAGATTCCAAGGGAAATGCTAGTGAGGCTTTGGAGTGGAAGAAGAATCTGCAGAAATTTGGGCTGACACCTTCTCCTGGAGAACATGGCCAGCAATAATCAGTACAGCCCCTAGAGCAGGAGTGCCCTTGCCCCGCTCAGGAAAGAAAGTGCTCTCTCAGGTTGGTCAGGAGGCTCTTCCATCCTGGCAGTGAGTGACTTGGCCTTATTCACGCTTTTGTCACCTCTGGGCAGCCTGACAGCAAAGCGATACGTCGGGACACAAAGCCTGTAGTGCTAAGGAAAATCTCGTCGGTTCAAAGTGCTGCAGCACTTCTCAGCACTGTTGGCTCCAACAGTTGGACTGCGTTCAATATTTCAGTCGTTATCCCCAGGTGGTGGCTCCAGGATATCTAGGAGACCAAATTTCACTCCATCCCATGAAGCTCCTCTGCAACAAACCTGCCCTGGAGAGCAGGGCCAAGCCAGAGTGCTTGGCACAGCCTCACACAGCCGCCGCTGGCACACATCTCCCTGTCTGCTCTGCAAGGCCATGTGAGGCATCACTGCATGCACACTGCTGCTGTGAAGGGGGGGCCTTGCCCTCATCAGCCCACCCCAGCTCATTAAGGTGGGCACACCTGAAGCTCTCTCCTACCCCAAGGAAGAGCAGCTGTGGCCTGACTGTGAGTGACCCAGGGTGTGAAGGAGCTGCAGTGGCAGGCCAGCGTTCCAGCAGGAATAGCTCTTCCACCTGCCCTTTTCTCCCCTTCCCAGGGTTCTGGCACCAGCAAAATTAGGCAGAAAGTTTCTTATCTCAGCAGCTTTCATGTCCTGGTGGTGAATGCCCTTGAAAATCTGCCTACTTACCTTGTACTTAGAGTCAGTTTTACTCAAACCATCTCTAACCCAAATCCATCCAAGTATTAAACTAACTTGTTAAGGCAGAGCACTCTGTAGACTAATTTACCGCACTCTTAGGGCAGATTAGTCTGTGTTTTGCCCCATGCTACCTTCACAGCTCCAGGATCCAAGCTATCTTCTCTGGAGCTACTTTAGGTATCTGCATACTCAGCTGCATTACTGAATATAGACAAAACTGGAATAGCAAGGCACATTTTGTGAGCTGTATTTTCCAACATACTTACAGAGAAATATGTGCTTAAATTCTTCTGTTGAAACACGACAGTCCACTTTTCTCATAGAAGATGAAATAACAAAAGGATTGCATATTTTAGTCGTGATATTTAATGCAGCTGTGGGAGTAGCTCAGCTGCTACTGTGATTGTTACAAGAATTAAATAATAATAATAATGATACTTTGTTCTACGTAATATCTGCCATCCATAGATACAGATCTGGGATAGGACATGTCATTATCCTTGTTTGGGAGGATCCAGACACTGTTGCAATACTGGTAATGCAGGTTAACAGTCATTGACACATACACCCTGGGAAATTTGTACCATTTCAAAATCCTAGCCTGTCAGTGCAAATTAGGGTCTTTAGACCAGTGTCATTAATTCTCTCTGATTCTGATGGAAAGTTTCAGACTTCATTGAAAGGCTCATGAATTAAGGCTCAAGATCAAGTTTCCAGAGATTGTTTTAAGGCTATGGCTGATAGCAAACCCCCAAACCACACCTGCTTATTGTATTTTCATGGGAAAGGTTTCAAACTCTTTTTGTTTATAGATGGAAAGAATCAGCAATTCCCTCCTGTAAAATAAGGATAATATTGCTCACTTGGGCTCAGTGCTGTCATAAGGATTATTTTTGTATTGCTATTTTTTCTCCCATCCTCCCTCCACACTTGCACATGCTATTTCTGTGCAGGTTAAAATGCAACACAGTTACACCCTAGAGTGAATTATACTACAGTTTGAAGAGCTATTCAGTAAATATAAAACATTTTTTAAGCACAAAAAAGCAACATTGTGTCACAATTTTTTGGGCAGGAGCGAAGAGTAGCATTACTAAGTGAAACCACAGGGGGGACTTAAATAGCAGAGGAATGTGTTGGTGTTTAGCCAGGACACTGGAGCTGCTGGCATTGCAACTGCTGCGAAAATATTCCACAGATCTCCAGTAACAAGTGGCCAAAGGCCTTGATTTGCTGCCGTTTCATTCCCGTTAGGCAATTTAGAGCTAGAAGCACAAGAGCAGCCTGGACCATACGTCCCTGTTCCCTGCCATGTCAGGCACAATGTTGGATTTGGTCATTTTCATGAAATGACCGTGCTCCAACTTAAAACAAGATTGTGTTTTCTACCCTTTACTCCTTCTAGCAGATTCTCCCAGACTGTCCATGTCCCTGACAGTCAGGAACCTTTGTGTCATTTCCATCATGAGTTTATTCCCACATATTCTGGCACAAACACTGGCTCTGATTTCAGTAGCTGTTTTGCTCACTGCTCCATACTCAGGTATTTTTATGGAGATGGTTCTTGCCTCCTTTCCCCACCCTGAACTACAGGACTGGCTTTTCAATCTTCTTTCCTAAATGACTCTCAGTTCCCCTCAGACGTCTTCCATCCGTTTTCTCTGGTTTCAGTTAATCTTAAAGTGCATATGGATGACCAAAAGGAGTTACAGTATTAAATGGAAGGAGGTTTTACTGATGCTTCACACAGTGACATTATAGTCTCTGTCTCTCACTGCAGTGTCTCACCTGGTAATCCCCAGATTGCATTTATCTATTCGCAAATAAGGTGTAGTGGTGATCTCATATTTCTCCTCCATTTCTGCTTGCAATGATGAATTCCCAGACTGGATCAGAAACTTGTTACTATTCCCTTGTCAGTTCCCAATTCTCCTGTATTTGTCCCAACTCTCAGCCTGCACACAGTTTTCTGATTTGTTTGTTCTTAGGCAGCATTTCTGATACTGGGAGATCAAGGTAGTTTCATAACCTCTAAAAGACATGTTCCTGCTTGTTACTTTACTCACACCCACCTAACCCATTTTTCTTCCTTCCTAGTTCAGGAAACAAACCCTAGACTACATATAATTATAGTCTGTGTAGTTATAAATGAATGTGCCTTCTGTGTTTTACACCTACATTTTAACTGGCATTGAGAAGAGCACGCCTGATAACCTAACATACAGGACACAGAAGAAACAGGAGAATGACAGACATTTCTAACAGCAGCACATGAACCTCCCATCTGCTTCTGCCAAGGAGCTGATGTTACCCACACACAGGTGTGAGGGCTGAATATTTTCTGCTGAGACCATTTTCCAGAGAGACAACGTGTGCCTGGCTGTGCAGGCACGCATGGCCTTCAGACAGGTACACACTGCTCATTCACCAAAATGCATGGGGAGTTGCAATGGTATCTCTGTCAGGTGAGCTTGACTAACACAAATTGTGTATTCTTTGCCACATTGACCGTGTGCAGACTAGATCTCAAATCATTTCGCTCCCCACTGAGGCATGTTGTGTGAACCTCTATAAAAACCCTGCACAACGAGGAGGGAATGGAAGCACAGCTTCGTTAAAAGTTCATCTATGTTTATTCCTGAGGATGTAGCAAATAGCTGTTGTCCATGTTCATGTGCTAAACACCATTAGTGTCTCTTCCTCTGTGTTACCATGGTGGTAGGACTGCTAATGCAAACTGTTCTCAAATGGAAACTTGACCTTATATGACTTGCACCTAAGTCCATTCAAATCTCTGTCACAAATGTTTTGATACAGCCTAAGGCTGGAGATATTTTCCAGCCCTATGAATCTGTGTTTCATACAAACTAAAACTATTTAAAATCAGTGATGGAAAGGAATATCTTCTCATCCCGCTAAAGGCTTCAACTTTTGTCAGGTATCTGACCCACAAGTACCGATGTTAGACACGGTTTGTATTTAGGATACCTGAGCATCCTTCTGCACAACACATTCAAACACACCAAAATTGTATAAATTGCCTAATTGTGGAGTTTGCAAGGATACTTAAAGTGGCTTGGCATTTCAGTTGGACAAGACCATCATCTGCCTCAAATAGTCTTTAAAGAAAGCATCTAGCCTGGGCATTAATTATCTGCAGCTTACCTCGCTTGCTCAGTGATGCTAGTGAGAAGCAGCAGGATGTCAGCAGATTAATAAAGCTAGATAGTCTGAATACAGACTTGGTCGTCTAGGCAATTTCCTACTGCTGGGTATTTCTTCACAGAGTGGTCTCTGGAGCTGTTTTCAGACACCTTGCTTCTCTAGCTGATGGTTCACTGACACCACTGCAAAAGGGAAAAAGCACTGGGGTAACACACTTTTTCCTGGGTAAATGGAAACATTTAAAAGATTGTAAGAAAGCAGGAAAAGCTTTAATACATCATGGTTTTATCCTACCTAATTGTAAAAGCTCTTTCTGTCTTGTCATAAGTTTATACAGATGCTTTCGTGCTTTAATAGTTTTTCAATAGTCTTTTTTTCTGAACAAACCCCAGTTTTTCTGACTAACTGTCCGATGATGAATTGCAATGGTTATGGAAAAAAGAGAGCATCATGTCTGGTGAATGAAAAAAATTCCATTAGCACATTCAAAAGCTTATTATTATAATCAATAACAGTTTACTTTTTCCTCTAAAAATGCAAGATCATTCTGCAGAATGGCCTTTTAAATCTTTGATTTCACATCAGCAGTGATGAAGCAACATTAACCTTTAGACTGTCGGTTTATCTGTGCATAAGTTAAGGATATCTTAAGGGAAACAATCCT